GAGCGCCCAACTTTGCAGCTGCTGCTGCTTCTCGCCTCTCCTGTCCTGGAAGTGTAACCGGGCGCCGTTTCCTCCCCACCCAATGGCGGCAATCTCAGAGGGAAAGAGGCGGCGGCGAAGCCCTGTCACCTGGGAGAGGGCCGCAGAGGGACAAACACACACACACAAGCCCCTGTCGCCTCCGGTGCCGCTTCTTTTGCGTTGGCTTCTCGCGGCTCTTAAAGTTGATTGTGAAGAGCTGGAAGACGTTTTCTTAGATCTCCCTCAAGTCATTGTTGGAGCATCAGAGATCTAAGAAAGAGTCTTCCAACTCTTCACAATCAACTTTAAGAGCCGTGAGAAGCCAACGCAAAAGAAGCGGCAGTGGAGGCGACAGGGGTTTGTGTGTGTGTGTTCCTTCGCAAGGACTTGGAGGCAGCCCCTCTGAGGGAAAGAGGAGGCAGCAAAGCCCTGGCTGCCCCCCGGGAGAGGACCGTGGAGGGACAAACACACACACATAAGCCCCAGTGCTGGTCACCTCCAGCACAGCGGCTCTGTCTCCCCGAAGGGCCGCTCGCCCACTCACTGGCCAGGCCGGAAGGCAGACAAGCCTAGTAGGGCCATGGGGAAGGGAGCTAACTAGCCAGGCAGCCCTGACGTGCTTGCCTGCCTTCCCGGTGGTCCCTGTGGCCAGGCCCGCTTGCCTGCCATCCTCTACCTCTCTTTTCAGCTGCTTACCTTCCATGGCAGCTGGTCCAGAGTCGGGAAGGCAAGCTGACCCGAGTTTTCAGCAGCCCCCAGCCAGCCACTGCTGCTGGAAATCGGTTGGCCAGGAGGCCTCAGAAAAGGTTTTTTTGCCAGCCACTTTCTCCGCAGGCTGCCGAAAAGTACCAGCGGAAAAAGCATCTGCCATCATCGCCATGTTCTTTGTGCATGTGCATCCCATTGGACTTGCAAGGCAATGGGATGTGGATGTGCAAAGAACATGGTGGCAATGAACATGGCAGCCAGGGGACCGGTTCGGGGGCGTGGCCAGCCAGCCATTACTACTGGTTCTCCGAACAATGAGAGATTTTTACTACCAGTTCTCCCGAACCAGTGCAAACTGGGAACAACCTACCACTGGTCAACACTCACTCGCCCCTTCCATCCGCTCAACGCTCACCCCACCCATTCCCACCCTATATATGTTGCCTTTGCCACATGGCCCAGCTAATCGCCTCGCCCGTCACCTCACTGATGCCCGCTCAGCTCAGCTCACCAAAGGTAAGCAATGTATGCCACCCGCTTGCCCTTCACCTTGGGCCGTCGCCATCTTTGACAGGATGGCGACAGCACTGCAGCAGCTTTTTCGGCACATTCAAGACTTCCGGTAGTTTTCGGTGGCCTCCAGCCAGCTGCCACAGCCACAAAGCAGCTCTCAAAGAGGCTCTCAAAGAAAAAAGTTTTCCTACCAGGTTCTGTAGCCGTGGCTTGGTGTAGGGGTCATGTGACTGAGTAGGCGTGGCTGTGAGTGACATCAAGTTGGCCATGCCCACTCAGTCACATGACCCCCCACCAGGCCATGCCCACAGAACCGATAGTGGAAAAATTTGAATCCCACCACTGCTCCAGAAGTTGTGAATGCTCCAACACTGGGAGTTTTTGAGAAGATGTTGGATTACCATTTGTCTGAAGTGGTGTAGGGTTTCCTGCCTAAGCAGAGGGTTGGACTAGAGGACCCCCAAGGTCCCTTCCAACTCTGTTATTCTATTCTACCCTAAATGGACACAGTGTGTGGAATGTAAAGAGAGAGCTGGACATCTGAACGAAGGAAAGCAAATGGGATTTATGGCTGTCATTGAAACTGGGGCTGATGAAGCTCACAAGTGGAATTGGAGGGATTGAAACTTATTCAAAAGGAGCAGGTCAGGGATGGGGGGGGAGGGGCCCAATGCATGACCGAAGGCCACACACAGATCGGGACCCAGAAGGTCCAGCAACAGCAGAGCCCAGCTGAGAGAGGGGTTAATGGCTGTGTGTGTGTGTGCTCTTAACTGCTGAGCCAGGCAGACTAAGGAGCTGCTGGACTGGATTCCAGGACTTTGGGAAGAAAAGAACCTGTAACCATGGAAAAACACCTGAGCCGAGATGGCAGCCCCCAAAGGTTTTCAGTGGTGGGGCTGAGTGTCTCATTTTCCAAAGGTTTCGGGAAGAGCCAAGGAGAGTCGGGGTCTCTTTCGCCCAAGCCTAACCAACAGAGAAAAGCTGGCTGCAGAAGACAAAGGAGGGTTAATTCTGGCAGGAAGGGAGCACATCTCGTTGGGATTAAAATAGCCTTTTTTCTTCAATTGTGTCCTGCCTGCATAAAGTCCCTGCGGTTTTCTTGGCAAAATTTCGGAAAGTAGTTTGCTCTTGCCTGCTTCTTAGGGCCGAGAGAGAGGGACTGGCTTGGGGTCACCCAGCTGGCTTTGTACCCAAGGCAGGACAGGAGCTACGTCCAACTGGTTCTCAAGAGCCAGGTAGTCCTCAAAAAGGCAGTCTTCAAAAAGGGGGAGAAGAGGACACAAGTAACCAGACTGGACAGCTGGACACCTGATACCCAAACAGTTTTGCATTCCATTTCTGAGGACTCAGAACTTTGCACAACTAAACCGTGTCCACCTGTCCTCTTCTTCTTGGATAGAGCGACCGGCTTAGTTGATGATGGAAATGCAGCACACGCAGCTTCAGCAAAGGAGTTGACAGACTCTTCCAAAAGATCCCAACAGAGAGGATGGCAAGAGGGGGACGGCATGGACACAGAGCTGGCTGAACAGTCGGACCCGGCGAGGATATGGGATGGGGTGGGGGCTCCATTCTAGGCAGTGCTTCTAGAAAGGCTCAGGTGGGGGAAGTTGGGCACCTCCCATTAGTACCACTTTAGAAGGCCTTGGTAAGGCCACACTTGGAATACTGTGCCCAGCTTTAGTCGCCACAATACAAAAAAGATGTTGAGACTCTGGAAAGAGTGCAGAGAAGAGCAACAAAGAGGATTAGGGGGCTGAAGACTAAAACATACGAAGAACGCTGGCAGGAGTTGAGTATGGCCAGTCTAGAGAAAAGAAGGACTGGGGGACATGATAGCAGTCTTCCAATAGGAGGGGGTCAATTTATACTCCAAAGCACCAGAGGGCAGGACAAGAAACAATGGATGGAAACTTATCAAAGAGAGAAGCAAGCTAGGAATTTCCTGACAGTGAGAAAAATTAATCAGCGGAACGGCTTCCCTCCAGAAGTTGTGGCTACTCCATCACTGGAGCTTTTTAGGAAGAGAGTGGACAGCCATTTGTCTGAAATGATAGAGGGTCTCCTGCTTGACTGGGGGGTTGGACTAGAAGACCTCCAAGGCCCCTTCCAATGTTCTGTTATTCTTGTGCTGAATTTGCCCACTGGAATTTTCTTACCAGAATGGCAAACTCTTGGCTACCCTGTATTTTGTTACCAAGTTTGGGGAAGTCACTGCTCAGTTGGTTACTTCATGGTAGAAATTGCTATCCTGTATTTCAGCCTTCCAAAGGGTGGGCCGCTCCCCTAATTGAGCCACCGGGAACCAAAATGGCCACTTTCCCTCAGCATTTCCCAGGCAAGCCCTCCCATCCCCCATTCTCCCCTTTCTTTCAAAGACTTGGCTGGGGCTCCTTGGGTGGACTATTCAGGGTTCTTGCTTTTTTTTTTTTTCCCTTCCAGAAGTAAAATGAGATGAGGCTGTTGATCAGGATTCTGATAATTCTGATGATTGGTCCAAAGATTCTTATGTTGAAATGGCAAAAATAAAATTCAGGCCTTTGGAGTTGTGGAAACTTTGATAAAGAAGCCACAAGTTTACAGGGCTGTGAAGGTGTGATCATAACCACAGGACGTGTCATGGCAGCCTGGTTTGGAGGAGGAGGAGGAGGAATTGGAACTGGGACTGTCCAACAGGGATGGCAAGTCTCCCTTGGCACGTTAAGAGAGGCCAGGGGCTAAGGACGATGCTGTCCTGGGCCCCTCAGTCATGGGAGGAAGTGGTTGACCAGACGGAGAGCTGCCTGCCTTCCCAGACACAGGGGAGGATTGGCTGCTGGCAATTGGTCGTGATTTGCTCCATTCCCAAACGCCCCATAGGTGACCAAACACTTTTTCGGCCGGACGGAGAAATGACGGAGACTCAAAGCTTCGTGTGCTTGCAAAGGGGATGGTTTAAATTGGAGTGATTAGCTCCATTTCAAAGTGTCCTCTTTGCAAGCAGACAAAGCTTTGTCTCCCTCTGGAGGAAAAGGGTGCAGCAGAACCAGGCGGAGGGAGAGGCGATCGCAACGCACCACCCACTCCGTCCCACCATCTCTTGGCTTGCTTGCAGCCATGCCAAACAAGTACCCGCACGGGGTGTCGGGATCACCTGCCTCCCCCATCCCCCATGCCTCTACCTCCACCTGCTGCTGGTGCCGCTGTGCAAGCCTCCCACCAGCTTCCACCCCTTCCACCAGGCCGGGAGAAGACAGACGACCCAGATGTGCTGCACGGAGTCAGGCAGCTGTGCAGCATATCTGGGTCGTCTGTCTTCTCCCCCCCTGCCTCTGCCTCCACACTCGGACTTCTTGGTATTTGCGCCGCACCAAGGGGCTGGTGGGCTGCGGTTGCTACCCTGCGTGCCCGCCACCTCTCTTGCTGGCCATGCCCTTCCCCGCGGGAAAATTTTCAGGGTAGGGCTTATATTAGGCAGGCTGGGGCTTGTTTTCAGGGAAACACGGTAAGTGAAACGTAGAAACCTATATATGCTTGTTTCAAAATGCATTTGGGGTTCTTCCAATCTTATGGAAGGACCCACCTTTGTTCCATGCTAAATAAATGTGTTACCTAGAGAGAAAACCTGGACTCTGCCTCTTTGTTTGTGCCGAGCCACACCTGGCTTCCCTGCTTAACAAGGGGCCCAGACTGGTCCCCTCCCAACAAGGTGACTCATGGGCTAGATTTAGGCTGGTGGGCAATGGACCCTGCAGGATTCCCCAAGAGGGCACATGTTGCATTTCGCAGATGTTTTATTGCGCTTGTGGTGGATGCGAGACAGGAAGGGGGCGGAGGCAGCTTGATCACCAGATGAAAAGGGGCTTCCCATCGGCCTGGGACAGCTGTCGGAGGCAGTTGAGCAGGATCAGGCAGTCGGCCACCTTGTCCTGGGGAACCACGCTGACTATCACCTCGTGCAGGTAGTTTGGATCATTGTACAGCTGAGCTTCGGAGCCTGTGGCGTCGGGACGTTCACGGAGGATGCCGTAGGTGTTCACAATGTGCTCTGTGAACTGGGGGTGGAAGGTGGGGTTGTAGTTCTGCGGCTTCAAGCGGTTCATGATTTCATTGTAGCGGTCCATCATGGCTGACCGCTGTTCTGGGGTCAGGGGGTTGACGGTGTCATTTTCAGCCTGCGGGAAAAAAAGGCACATCTTCAGTCTCCTTCTCTTCCTCATCTGTGGGGCGCTCAAGATCGGCTGCCCAGAGCCCACTCTGCCCCTCGGGAGCAGGCAGGAGACCAGGCACCGGTGCTGACGGCGGTAACCTCACAGCCATGGAAATCCTGAAGTTGTCTGGCACTCAGGCGCTGCTGATCCAAGGAGATCCCAAGGTTCCCTGCAGGGCCAGATGTCCTGGCACACCTGCATTCTTAAGATGCGATCTCCAGGCATCAGCTCTACTGCCAGTTTTTAGTGCTCCTTGCCAGCTTCCTGTTTCTGTCCCTCACCCCAACTGAGGTAACCCACGGCTGACCTGGGCAGCACGTTAATAGCCCAAACCTTTGTCCTCCCAATAATCCTGTAAAGCCCACTCTGGGTGTTACGTAGACCTTGGAGTGGTGTGAGTTTGACACCGACTACTAAGTGAGATTTCAGGCCCGCCTCCTGACAACGGAAGGTGGAAGGGCAAAGTGCCCACCAATGTCTCACCTGCATTATTTTCTCAGGGATGTTGCCAACGGTGAAGCCGTAGAGACGGACCCGGTCGGGGAAGATGCTGGAGAGGATCCGTCGGTCCAGCTGGAAGGCCACCTCCCCCACGATACGTTCAAAGGTTGCAGCCTTGGAATCTGAGGAGACCAGAATCCCCGGTCAGCCTGAGAGGCCCCCCTCGCCTTCTTCCTGGCCTGGCCAAAGGGCTCTCTCCCACTGGGGTCGGGTTGAATTTCTTGACCTGAGTTTAGGGCCAGCTGAGTCCGGATCGAGTTTGGGTGGTTCACGATATCGCAGGACAGGATTTAAAATGCAGCAGGCAGGGATTAGTGGGCAAACGGGGTGTGGGTGTGGGTGTACCTCGTCATCCGGGAAACCCTTTGCAGAGAGGTCAAGTTGGACTCTAGCGACCAAAGGGTAGTCTCCACTTATGACCGTAATGCAGCTTGGAACTTCTGTGGTAAACCTTGACTGTCATAAGACGAGACACCCACATGACCAATCCAATTTTATGACCGTTGGGGGGGCAGTCGTTAAGCGAACACAGCAATCATAGAGTCCATTCATTCCTATGGGCTTTTTGCTAGAAACGATGATGAATTGTGGTCACTTGACCACAGAACACTGCAGTTGGCCGTAAAAGTGAGTCCGTTGCCTGGCACACAAAATGTGATGGGGGGGGGTTGCTGCTATCAAAGCTCTAGAACCAAGTGGAAGTAACTTTTGGGGTGGGGGGATCCATTGTAACTGAGTTGTCGCTAAGCAAGCAGTTCTTAAGCAAGGACTCCCTGTGTTTGCTATTTGCGTATCCTGCCGCCCCTGGGGAATGGGCTCAGAGGGAGCTTGGGAATTCGTGGCCACCAAGGCAATCGTGGCTGTTCCACTCACCACGGAGGCCACGGGTCAGGCATCTGCCCTGGGGCGCTGGCAACGTGATCTGGAGCTGGTCGGGCTCCCTTGCCACGGACAGATAGTTTCCTGATGGCTCTGGAGTGCTCTCTGGTCAGCCCTCCCCACGGGGTGCCCTTGAGGGCCAGGTAGGATGGGTTTTGAAATGTGGGTTTTGTAGTAGTTGCACAGGCTAACATGGGTTTTCTTGTATTTTACATTTGCCTTTTTCAAATGTATCAAATACCTCTGCCAAGTCCTGGTTTATCAAAGAAAGGCCTTAGTTCTTCTTGAAGATTAAGGCTCGTTGCACGTTATTAGCAATACGTTTGTAAAAGGCAAATTTAAAATACAAGAAAACTAATCTTAGTTAGCCAGTGCAATAGTACTATAGAACCCATATTGCAAGTATTACACAGTCCATCCTGAATAGCCCTCACTGAGTCCTGGAAGGAGCTTAGGGTTAGGCTTCCTGGGGCTCTGAAGCGTGGCTGATGGCATGAGGCTCAGGTTGCTGTGTGGGGTGAGAGCAGGGGTGAAATGCTCCCGGTTCGGACTGGATCGCCCGATCCGGTAGCAATGGCGGCAGGTGCTTTGGAGAACCGGTAGCAAAAATCCCTGCCCCCCCCCATGCCCAGCTGAGCCACACGATCATCAAAGGCTTTTTTTTTTTACTTTTAAAAGCATTTTTTCTACAACCTCTGAAGAGGTTGTAGAAAAAAATGCTTTTAAAAGTAAAAAAAAAAAGTTGGCCACGCCCACCCAGTCACATTACCCACCACCAAGCCACGCCCACAGAACCGGCAGTAACAAATTTTACATTTCACCACTGGGTGAGAGGGTGACCTGGGCCATGGGTCGGCTTGCATCCAGTGCCTCCTTATGCCCGGGGGTCTCAGAGCATCTCCTGGTTTTCTGAGGAGCTCCAGGTGATGGAAAGGCATGAGAGACACCTGGAACGCTGCAGAACAAAGCAAAGGGTGGACCTGGCCCAGCTCAGGCCTTCTTTAAAGACTACTAGTGACAGTGAAGCAGGGTCATTCTGTGTCCAGAGGGAGCCGGCCGATGGCTCTGTTTAGGGTGACTGGATCCTTCCTGGGCAGGAGGGCTATCAGATCCTCCAACCCAAGTCAGTGGGGTTCACTCAGAGTTGCAATTCAGCTGCCTGAGGGTGGTTTGCTGGGTGACCTGAGAATTTCAAATTTTTTGGCTCTGATGACATGTACAAGACCTCATGAGAACAACCTGGGCTAGTGGTTAAGGCACCAGGCTAGAAACGGGGACAATGAGTTCTAGTCTCGCCTTAGCCATGAAATCCAGCTGGGTGACTTTGGGCCAGTCACTCTGCCTTAGCCCACAATCTCCAAATCAGATGACAAACCGATTGGTCAACTCCTATTGCAACCAATGGATCAACCCATTCAAAAAAGTGGGCCCTGCACTTGCAGGAAAATGCTGGGAAGAAAAAGAGGAGGAGGAGGAAGCATGCAGGCTCCTCAGAACTATGAAGCTCAGCCATCTCTGACCCTCCAAGTGGAATTAAGTTCTCGCAGCAGCTGGCAGGGGGGTTGGTATCTTATTGGGTTGGGAATATTTACTGTTGATGATTATGCTATAAGCAGCCCAGAGTCACTTTGTAGCAAGATGGGCGGCAAATAAATTTAATAATATATAACGTAAAACTCTGTCGCTGCAGAAGGGGAGTTTTCTTCTGCCCTGAAGGTCTACCCTTCTTTAAGAGACCCTCCCTGAACCCAGCCCATCTGGGCCCGGTTGCAGCACCGAAGCAGCAGCATTAACTGTGGCTGCCAGGTTCCTCTGGAGACCTAGGACAGGGGTGGGGGATTCCACCTCCCGGCCCTCTTTGATCTCTCAGCAGCCTTTAACGCTGTCACTCGCGGGCCCTTCTGGGCCACTGGGGGTTGGCAACAGGGGCATCGTGTTGCAGCTCCTTTCTCCCGGGCCAATTCCAGCCATGGCCAGAACTCCCCCTGACCACCTGTATCATCTCCAGAGGCTGCTGGGTGAGGCAGCTGGTCAGCCTGGGCTGAGTCATCGATTGCTGGGGATGCGTCTCCACCCCAGGCTGACCAACCAACCAAAGTCAATGAGCTCCTTTCCCAGCGCCTGGAGGCGGTGGGAGTCTGGGTGGTGGAGAGTCTTCTGGGATCCTGGGGGTCGCCCATCTTTAGATCTGTGTGGGGATCGCTCCCCAAGTCAGTGTGCCGTTTGGTGGACCTCTTGTGGCTCCTGCTGGAAGAGCAGATGGCAACGGGAGCCAAGAGGGCTTTGGGCATACATTGGGCCTATTCCTTGAACGGGTGGCATCGCTCGTCCAGACTACTGTAACAGAGTCCACAGGAACACGCACAGAAGTGGCAAAATGCAGTGGCGTGGGCAGTTTGGGGTCTTTCTCATTGCACCCACATAACCCCACTGCCCCATTAGCTGCCCTGGCTCCCAGGATGCAACTTAGGCTGCTGGTTATCAGCTATCAAGCCATCCAGAACATGGTCAGATTTCTTGTGGGACCACCTCTCTCCCCACCCGCACTGTTTCTGCCTGCCCCACCAGTCTTAACATACGGCGCCGTGCCAGGTCCTTTCTATCAAGCGATGCCCTCTTGCTGGGCCTGGGAGTCGAGCCTTCTCGGGGGCAGCACCTGTCTCATGGAGACCTGGGTGGCCTTTCAGAAGACAAGGCTTCCCCAGGCATTTAATCAGGTGCTTGGGGGAGCTCAGCTGTTCCTCCAATCGTTTTGTTTACAAGGGGGGTCTGCTGCTGGGAAGAGGGCCCATGTGCTAGTCACCCACAGCCTCCTTGCACCCCAAGGCCCTGCCCCCTTGCTCTGCCACCCCAGCTGCGCGTCGCCCTCTTCTTCCTCCAGCTGCTGAGGAGGGGTGCCAGCCTGGCCCCTTGCCAGGCAGCCTCTGGGCTGGACCTCACAGGAACCCACTAAAGTTGACCTTGGGAGGAAAGCTTGGTCAGCCACCGAGCAAGAAGCCCACGAAGGATGGCTCAGGAGGGGCAGCCATGGGGGCCGGGGCCAAAAGGGTATAGATTTGGGGGGAGGGAAGAGAGGCGGAGGGAGGTTGAAGCAATCCTGTGGTGGGGGTGGGCTGCCAAGTACCCAAATTTTGATCACGTGACCGGTCGCTAATGGAAACCACAACTGTGCTGGTGAACTTACTTCAGATTTCGTTTGCTTTACAGACCTGTGAAGTAAATGCGAGGATCGGTCATAAAAGTTGCAACTGCGAACGGTTCCTAAAGGTGGCGGGCCCTGAACGAAGACCCCCTGCCTTCTGCGGGAGCCCCACTTAGAATCAATCAATGGCCATGGCTCCAAGCATGGCAAAGGGCCCCGGGGGAAATCCTCTGGCCAGGATTAAGCTAAGCAAACCCCTTGATGTATCTCTTGAATATCGTTTTCTCTGCCATTCGCCTGGCAAATGGCTCTCTGGGTCATTTGCCATAGATTTTTCTGCCAAAATGAAAACCATAATTTAAAAGACCACCTTTTTTAAAAGGGTGGGGGGGAGGAAAAGAGAAAGGGCCTCTTGGAAGTTCTGGCTGAAAAGATTTTGGTGATTTGGTCCTGAGGCTCCCTTTCCTTTTGGGGAGTGGGCTGCCTCCACATGTTTGAGGGATACGAGAAGGGGGACAGGGATGTCAGCTGTGGCTTCTGGGCTGCATTTCCCCATCACCCATTTCAGGTTTTCTCAGAGATGTTGGCTGTGTTCCTTGCAGGCTAGAAGGTGCTTTTGATGGGTCCAAGGGGCACTGCCCCCCCAGGGGTTCTCCACCTCATCTTCCTCAGCCACAGCCCCCGTTCTCCTGGCCTCCTCTTTTGGCTCACCTGTCTGGGGAACCAGCTTAGCCCCTCCTTCCAAAGGAATTCTCCCTGACTGATGGTAGCCCCCCCCCATTCCTCCCTGGTTGCCTTCTTCCTAGGCTCAGAGAGAGGGACTGGCCCCAGATCACCACCGGCCTGTGTGTCTAAGGCAGGAGAAGAGCACCCCATCTCCCAAGTTTTAGCCTGGCGCCTTGAAGAGGTCTCCCTAGAGATCTGGTGTGGACCCATAGCTTTGTCCCCTTAGACCTAATGGAGGGCTTCAGGCAAAGTCCAGGGGAAGCCCACCTGAAAGCAAAGACAGCTGTTGCTACACATAGGACGCCTGCCATGTTCTCAGGGGAAAAATCTTACCTGGCCAAGCTGAAAGGTGTGCCACATATTATAACTTACAACAAACTATGGGGAGAGCCCCTCTGGCCCTCGGGATTGCCCCGGGCAGCCTCTGGAAAGCTGACCCATCTGACGGGCACGTCTGTGTATCAGAAAGCCTGATTCCCAGGGTTCATGGTAGGCGGGGAGAGGAAAGTTGGCCATTTGCCATAGGGGAATGGTCCAAAAACAGGAAAGGAAGTCCAGCCTTTCCTAGGACTGGCAGGATATTCCAAATACTTGGATCTGTGCTGCCCCAGGATGAGGCTGGGCGGATGTCCAGGGACCTCTCGGTCACTCTCAGAGGCCTGAAGGCAGTCTGATTGGGGAGGGGGCCTTGAAGCCTCCAGGGGGCAGCCCCAGTGGGCTGGCATGGCTGGGCAGAGAGGGAGAGGGGTCTGCAGGTGAACTGAGCTCTACCTGCCCAAAAGTGGCAGGGAATCGTTTGCTAAGAGGGGAGGCCCAAAGGAGCCCCATGCACTTCTGCTCTGGCCTTTTTCCCTGCAGCCCAGAGAGCTGGTCCAGCCCTCCCCCCCCCCAGCCTTGAGCAGTTAGGCTGAACCTGGCAGAGGCACACTGGGTGCAGTGGGGCTAGGGGGAGCCCGGTCTTCCCCCTCCCTCCACAGACTCTTACCTCTGCCCATGGCAGTGCCTTGTGTGCGGCGATCGCTCTTCTCAGTGGGTTCCGGGCTGACGGCTGGGCTCAGCATGGGGCTGGGCAGCATGGGTGACGTGATGGGTCTTGGGCCTAAGGCTGGGGTGGGTGAAGTGGCCAGTGGGGAGAACTGGATGGGCGATGGGACACAAATGGTGCCAGGAGAGCCAGCTGGACCTAATGGGCTGAAGAGGCTGGAGGGGCCACTGGAGAATAACGGGCTGCCTGAGCTGGTGGGGCTGGCTGGGACCATTGGCCCGTAGAGGCTGGAGACGTAGCTGGCCGGGAACATGGGCCCATAGAGGCTGGATGTGTCAGGGGAACTGGCTGGGGGCACAACTCCAAAAGGGCTACAGGCCCCCAGGGAGCTATAGGGACTGGGGATTGTGCCGAGTGAAGAGTCTGGGACCAGTGAGCTGAAGACGCTGTTGCCACTGGAGGCGGTTGTGCCAGACATTGGGGTCATTGGGCCACCAGAGAAGGTCATTGGGCTTCCTGGCGCCATCGGCCCATAGAGGCTGGACATATCAGGGGATCCTGGAGCCAGCGGGAAGAAAGGGCTGCCAGTGGGAGTGCCACCCATGCCAGAGCTGCCAGGGCTGAATGGACTGCAGGGGCCCAGCTGGGAGAAAGTGCCAGATGGGGAATAGGGAGAAAATTGGCCAGGACTGTAGGGGGCGCAATAAGGGTCCCCCCCGAGATTATAGATATCCCCAGGGAAGCGTAAATAGCGGGAGGGCTGTGTCGGGGAGATGCTTGGCATGGCAGGCAACTGGGGCTTCCCAGGGTCAGATCCCATGGAGAAGATGTCAGAGGAGAACTGGGAAAAGGGGTCACCGACAGGGGGTGGAAGCTGCAAACCGCCATAAGAATCCCAGGAGGGGACCATGTAGGAAGGGGGGCAAGGGCCAGAGGGACTGGAGAGGGAGCCGCTGAGGTAATTGGCCCCCTGGATGGGCTGGATGGGGCTTGAAGCCTCGATGGGCTGGAAGGGCTGCTGCTGGGTGGGGAGGGACATTGACACGTCCCTGCCACAGATGGGCTTAGGACTGAAGGCGGAGCTGAGCTGGGAGAGCAGCTGGGTGGAGGGCAGGCTGCTGCCGAAGACGGAGGTGAGGTGCGACAGGTTCTGCGTGCTGGGCGCCTCGGGAGTCCCTTGAGGGAAGGAGACCATCCCCCCTTCCTGGCCAGAAGTGGGCTTCATGTAGATGGAGGGCAGCTGGGAGGGGTACTGTGGGCTGGGCAGCTCGGGGCCGCCTAGAATAGTGGGGAAGGTGAATATCCTCTGTCTTTGCCTAACAGTGGGCTTCATGTAGATGGAGGGCAGCGTGCCAGAGAGCTCAGGGCTGCCTGGAACGCTGGGGAAGGTGAATATCCTCCCTCCTTGCCTAGCAATGGGCTTCATGTACATGGAGGGCAGCGGGGACTGCATGCTGGACAGCTCGGGACTGCCTGGAGAGCTGAAGTAATTGGCCCCCTGGATGGGCTGGATGGGGCTTGAAGCCTCGATGGGCTGGAAGGGCTGCTGCTGGGTGGGGAGGGACATTGACACGTCCCTGCCACAGATGGGCTTAGGACTGAAGGCGGAGCTGAGCTGGGAGAGCAGCTGGGTGGAGGGCAGGTTGCTGCCGAAGACGGAGGTGAGGTGCGACAGGTTCTGCGTGCTGGGCGCCTCGGGAGTCCCTTGAGGGAAGGAGACCATCCCCCCTTCCTGGCCAGAAGTGGGCTTCATGTAGATGGAGGGCAGCTGGGAGGGGTACTGTGTGCTGGGCGCCTCGGGAGTGCCTGGAATGCAAGGAAAGGGGAAAGCAGCAGCAGCCTGGGTAGGGCTAAGGAAGGCGGAGGGCAGCTGGGAGAGTAGCTGAGTGGAGGGCAGGCTGCTGCCGAAGACGGAGGTGAGGTGCGACAGGTTTTGCGTGCTGGGCGCCTCGGGAGTGCCTGGAATGCAAGAGAGGGGGAAAGTGCCCCCTCCCTGCCCAGCAGAAGCAGGCTGGGTAGGGCTAAGAAAGGCGGAGACAGCTGGGAGAGCAGCTGGGTAGAGGGCAGGCTGCTGCCGAAAGACGGAGGTGAGGTGCGACAGGTTTTGCGTGCTGGGCGCCTCGGGAGTGCCTGGAATGCAAGAGAGGGGGAAAGTGCCCCCTCCCTGCCCAGCAGAAGCAGGCTGGGTAGGGCTAAGGAAGGCGGAGGGCAGCTGGGAGAGCAGCTGGGTGGAGGGCAGGCTGCTGCCGAAGACGGAGGTGAGCTGTGACAAGTTTTGCGTGCTGGGCGCCTCGGGAGTGCCTGATATGCCAGGGATGGAGTATGTCCCCCTTCCTTGCCCAGCAGTGGGCCCGGTGGGGCTGCCGAAGACAGAGGGCAGCTGGGAGAGCTGTTGGATGCTGGGGAGCTCGGCGCTACCAATGTTCCAGCTGGGCATCCCTTCATCACAGGGGATGGAGTATGTCCCCCTTCCTTGCCCAGCAGTGGGCCCGGTGGGGCTGCAGAAGACAGAGGGCAGCTGGGAGAGCTGCTGGATGCTGGGGAGCTCGGAGCTAGCAATGTGCCATTTGGGCATCCCTTCATCACAGGGGATGGAATACGTCCCCCTTCCTTGCCCAGCAGTGGGCCCGGTGGGGCTGTAAAAGACAGAGGGCAGCTGGGAGAGCTGCTGGATGCTGGGGAGCTCGGAGCTAGCAATGTGCCATTTGGGCATTCCCCCTCCAGGGCTGGGGATGGAGAACGTCCCCCCTCCAGGGCTGGGGATGGAGTACGTCCGCCCTCCAGCGCTGGGGATGGAGTACGTCCCCCTTCCCTGCCGGGCAGCAGGAAGGTTGGGCAGGCTGCTGCCAGGCAAGACTGAGGTGAGCTGGGTGCTGGGAAGGTCGGGCAGACTAGTTGGTGCGAGGAGGGGAACCCCTGCAGATGTAGATGGCAGGTGGGGGTGCCATGGGATGGGGCACTCAAAGCAGTAGCCCCGTGGGACGATTGAGCTGCCGCTGCTCCGCTGAGAAGCACCGCCAACACCTGCAAGAGGGAGAGAGAGAAGGAGGTGGTAGCATCTAATAGGGGACAGGAAACGGCCGTTATCCTCCTCCCCCCCCCGCTTAATTTGGGAAAGCCAAGTTATCTTCTCAGTGGGAACACAATTTTTCCTTTATTCATTCAGTAACTGTTTGAAGTTAAAACTGTGCTGAAAAAAAGGAGTTATGAATGGTCCTTGAAGATACAGCTACTTTAATGCGCCCGTGGTCACATGATCAAAATTGAGATCCCTCCCCTCGCACTTACAACTGCAAGGGTGGGAGAGTGGTTAAGGCACCATACCAGAAACCAGGAGACGGTGCATTCTAGTTCCACCTTTGCCATGAAAACTCTCTCTCTCGCAGAACAGTCCAACTTCACAGGGTTGTTGTTGTGGGGGAGGAGGAGCATATGTTTGGTGCCTGGGCATGGAATGAGGCAGCTCGGCTGTGGTGAGCTGGCTGTGGCAAGTTGGCCATGGCGAATTGTCACAGACCCTGTGTGATGACCCGGGGCAAGGCATAGAGGCAACATAGTCAGCTGATAGTTTAAACTGCCCCTTTATTCCCCCCAACGCTCCCATGTTTATGGCAAATCCCAGAGCAAAGTGATCACACACACACACACACACACACTCCCACAGCCTCTGGCCGTAAGTACTGTGAGCACAATGGCTGCAAAGCAAGAAATCCAGCGGGGCAAGGGAACAAGGCAATGGTTACAGGAAGCAAAGGAACAAGGCAATTAATCCAGGAAGCAAGAAATAAAGCAAGAAGTCCAGGGAAGTTCAAAGGTAGGCAACAGCAAACAACACTCCATGAATTCAGTGTTTGTTCCCGACAAATGCTCCTCCCCCTAGTGTCTCCTTTTTTCCCAAATTTTAAAAAGTTTTTATTCAATATATTAAAATTTCCATTTTTATATAAAGTGTGTTGTCTGAGTACAATTAACTTTGAGAAATAGTAATCAGTAATAACAATAATATTCATAACATCAATATTAATCACATAATAGTAATATTTGTTTTTCCATTTTAACATAAAATTAACCCTTCTCTTATATTTCCATATTTCTAACTTCTGTTTTTATTGGCTAGCCATTGATAAAACGAGTCCCATGTTAAAAAGTATTCAGCTTCTTACTTTTCCTTAATTTTAAGAGTTAATCTATCCATTTCTGCACATTCTAATTTTTTTATTATATTTTCCTCTGTAGGGATCTCTTCACTTTTCCATTGTTGCACAAATACAATTCTAGCTGCAGTTAGCATGTGTAAAATTAAATATGTATTGCCTTTATTATATTTTTCCAGTAGGATGCCCAACAAGAATATTTCTGGTTTCAGATCTATATGTTGCTTTATCATTTTTTCAACTATGTATGTATTTTTGTCCAATATTTTTTTGCCTTTGGGCATGTCCACCACATATCTGACCGTGCACAGTTAAGATCCTTCACATGAAAAGGGTGAACTTAAATTGAAACAAAACTTAGAAGATCAGGGAATTAAGATAGATTGGTTTTCATACATGCAAATACTTTCCAGATATCGAGAAGACTTTAAACAAGAAGGTATTTATAGTGTTTTGACTGGTTTAGACAAGATATTAATGGGTTCAGATGACCATATAATTAAAAAGCTATATGGATATTTACTTGAAGCAAAGCTGGAAGAAGAACAAGATAAAGAATCAATGATTGCATGGGGAAAATTTTTTGGTTATAGTATTGATTTAGAGAAATGGCAAAAATTGTGGTTATATAATTATAAAATGTCAATGTCAACAGCATATAAAGAGAATTTGTATAAGATGTTTTACAGGTGGCATCTACCCCCAACGAGAATAGCCAGGATGTTTAAGAATAAATCGGAGAAATGTTGGAAGTGTCATCAAACTCCAGGATCGTATTACCATATGTGGTGGACATGCGTGGAAGCAAGATTTTGGACTAAAATACATACGTGGTTAGAAAAAATGACAAAGAGACATATTGACTTTAAACCAGAAATATTTTTATTAGGAATCTTACCAGAGACGTTTAATAAAGAATTACAATACTTAATTGTGAACATTTTAACAGCAGCCAGAATTGTATTTGCCAAAAACTGGAAAGGAGAGAAGATAATTACCAATGAAGAAATTATTATGAAAATGTTGGACTGTGCTGAAATGAGTAGATTGACATTTGAAATAAGAGAACAGGAAGATAAACAATACTATTTGATATGGGAGATATTTTATCAATGGTTTGATAAAGTATGGAGATGAGATAGCATATATGAAATGTTTAAATATTTATCTTTAGTTTAAGTAAAGAATAATTGCTATATGAGGAGATTTGGAGAATTGTAAGCACGAAATGATTTTAACCGATTGAGATGCTGTCTATAATTGTTTGTAAGGATGATATTTTTATGTTATTGTTGTTCTGTTTTGTTTTGTTTTTTGTTTTTATTTTTAATCTAAAATAAAACTTTTTCAAAAAAAAAAAAGATCCTTCACATGGTCTTATCTAGTGGAGATGGAGGCGGCGAAGTGTTCCTACTTCTCTGCCCTCATCGTGTCCACAGATAACCGCTTGGCCGCCCTGTTTAGGGTGTCACACTCCCTTTTGAATCGGGGAGTGGGGGATGACTCTATGGGGGGGCGGGCCGAGGAGTATAGTCAGCATCTGCTGAACAAGATCGCTCAGATTCGGGACGGTCTGGACTCTGACTGGGCAGGGTCAGACGAGGGAGAGACGACGGGTCTTGTCATTTGGGAAGAGTTCGATCCTGTTAGCCCTGAGGAAGTGGACAGGATCATGGGGAGGCTGAGTGCTACCACATGTTTGTTGGACCCGTGTCCCTCCTGGCTTGTTTATGCAACCCGGGAGGTTACACATGACTGGTTCCGGGCAGTGATTACTGAGTCCTTGGGTGAGGGTAGCTTTACGAGTCACAGCGTGTAGCCATCCACGGACGCGAATAAACCAGCGTGCCAAAAAGAGCTGAAAGGGGTGCTGCTGTGTTTTGATTGCATCTCGCACGGGCCATCTGAGACCCAATGTATTATTTTGGTATGCAAAAGCTTATAAAATTTTTCTTGCTGTTGGTTAGGAGCATATACTCCAATTAAAAATGTTTTTTTCCCTTCTATTAGAAATTCAATTCCAATATATCTTCCTTGAACATCTGCCTCAATTAATTTGGCTGTTAAATCTGCCCTAGGTTTATAACTATACCATTTTTCTTCTCTGGAGCAGATGCAACAAAATGTGTCCCCAATCTTGAATTTATCAAGTATTTTTGATCTATCACTCTAATATGTGTTTTTTGTAGGCAAATTACATCGTTTTTAAACTGTTTCAGATAATGAAATATTTTCTTTCTCTTTTGTGGTGAATTCAAACCATTGACATTCCAAGTCAAAAATTTAGTTACCATTCTTGGCACCTTGAAGCTTTAAGAGCGCCAGCTGAAGATCTTCCTTCACCTTTCTCTTCGGCCTTGCTCCTCCCACTGCTTCTGTTTTTGTAGCTTCTTGAGCTTTCATTTGGGTTTGCTGTAACTTTAAATCTTGTTCTTTTCGCTTTGCTGCAAGGCGAGTCTGCCTTTGATCTTTTGGTTCTTCTCTTTTTTCTACTACTTCCAAAGGTTGATCAGTAGCAAAAAATTGTAATAAAACTTCTTCAATAAGTGAGGTCTCTCCTGCAGCTTGTGGCTGTTTACTTTCCTTCTGTCCCTGTATCCCCAGCTCTTCTTTTCTTCTCCTCATTTCCTGAGATGGTGGGCATCCGGCCTTTAATACGTTAGTATAAAAATCTCTTGCCTTCCAAATTGTGTTAAGACGATACCTTTCTCCCATATAATTCACCACCAGTCCAGCTGGAACATCCCATCTAAACTGAATCTGTTGATTTCTAAGTTCATCCACCAAGAAAGCAAACTCCTTTCTGCTTCTCAACATTTTTGGGGGAATTTCTTTCAGCACTAAAATCTCGTCCTGCAATTTGAAGTTTATTTTCATAGAAAGCTTGTAAAATTTCATTTCGGGTCCTCCTCGTAGTAAAGTAAATCACAATGTCTCTTGGCAATTGATTCTGTCTAGCAAACCAGGAATTAACACAATATATTTTGTCAATTTGTAATGAGAGATCTGCTTGTTGCTCCCCAGTTATCTTTGCAAAAGCCTCTGCGAAGATCTCTCTCAAGTTCTCTCGATTGTGTTCTCTCAGACCTCTTACTCTCAGGGCAAATTCCATTGCTCTATACTGTAAAATCACCACTTCATCATCTGCCCTATCCACCTTGGTCTGAACTTCATCCATTTTATTTTCCAAATTCAGATTAGACTGATTAATTTTTTCTACTTTTTCATCCAATAATTCAATGTGTTTTGCCAGACCCTGAAATGCCATTATTCTGAATTTGTATGACTTCTTTAATTTCAGTCATCTCTTCAGACACTCCCTTAATTTTCCCCTCTAAAAAAGAAGTTTGTTGCTTCAAAGCTTCCTGCAGAGATTCCTGTAGAACTTCCAAAGTCAATATTTGTGGGTTTGAAGTAGACAAAGATTGTAGTTTTGATGGTTGTGCTGGTGATCCTCCAGCACTTTTAAAGCCAGATTTTATTTGCTTAGAAGCCATTTTTAGCTTTCAATTTATACTTCCTACAGCAACTAAATCAATAAATCCAAATGTTTTTAAATCTTTTTTAAGTATTATAGTTTATTTAAAGTCCAAACTGTAGTCTTTCCACTTTAAATCTCTTTCTTTGTTGTAGAACCCAGTAATCTTAAACAGCCTTAGAAGCGCTAACGATGTTAACTATCACTTTCAGTATCACTTTCACTTTCACGCCCTGTTACAGTTCAGGCGCCATTTTTGCTTTCGTTTTAAAAGACTTAGAAGGAAGAAATATGGACACAGAGTTAAAAGTTCAGTATTTGCAGTTGCTAGGACTCCTGTTTTTGTTCTGCTTGCTTTAAGCTTATTTTGAACCTGAATGTTGATTTCTGCT